GGTCAGGCAGGAGCGGGCGGTTAGTAGCGGAGCGGAGCCGCCTCTGCCCTCCCGCTGCCCGCCCCGCCTGCTCCCAAACTCGTGTGTTTCCCCCGAACCCCTCTCGCGCGGGCACAGGCGCGAGGGGTGGAAGGGGCCGCGTCACGGAAATAAGAGTTATGGCGAAATGCACTGGAACTGCAGGGCTGCCCGCAGAGCCGGGGATTGCTCACCCGAACGAGGCTTGCTACCCGACACGGCTGTGCCTGCGCGGGTTGCACCGGGAAAGAGGTAGCGCACTGTTCTGCACCTCGGCTTCCAGCCTTTTCGCCCATTTTGCTAGAGAAGTAGCACTTCAATTAAAAGTAGCCTGGTAGTTCTGTAATGAACAAACCTGTTTTTTTTAGATCAAATTAACTCCTTGTTTTGACTATTTTTCTTAAAGCTAGTAGACTATTTTAAAACGAATGGCCACTCTGTCAGTGATTTAAGTCCCTAGGGACTCTGATTTGCATCAAAACTTGGTAAGCCCCTGTAGAAGGGGGCACTCCCTTGACTCTTGTTCTCCCCCCAGTACAGCCCAGACAACGTGGCCGGAGCGGACGGAGCCCTCGACCCCACGGAAATCACCTTCCCCGGCTGCTCCTGCCTCACCTGTGCAGTTCCTGCGTGTTCGTGCCTTCGCCACGGGGAAAACTACAGCAGTTTGTGCATCAAGCCCACGGACAACGAGGAAGGCTTCGCCAGGCCCGTTTTTGAGTGCAACACCATGTGCCGCTGTGGCGAATCCTGTCCCAACAGGGTTGTCCAGAGGGGATTGCAGTTCAGGCTGGAGGTTTTCAAGACTGCAAAGAAAGGGCTGGGTCTTCGCACGCTGGAATTCATAGCTAAAGGAAGATTTGTTTGTGAATATGCTGGGGAAGTTTTAGGTTTTAACGAGGCACGTAGAAGAATTCAGGCCCAGACACCCAAGGACTCAAACTACATTATAGCAGTGAGGGAGCATCTTCATAATGGTCAGATAATGGAGACTTTCATTGACCCTACACACATTGGTAATGTAGGGAGGTTCCTGAATCATTCCTGCGAACCAAACCTATTTATGGTGCCAGTCCGAGTTGACTCAATGGTGCCCAAACTGGCGCTCTTTGCGGCCACTGATATTTCTGCCGGAGAAGAACTTTCTTATGATTATTCTGGAAGATTCTGTAATATACCAGTAACTAGCAGAGTGCCAGCAACTTCAGAGGAAGGTAACATACCAAAAAAGCCCTGCTACTGTGGTGCCCGCACGTGTACTTCCTTCTTGCCTTGGGACAGCTCCCTCTTTTCCACACCGGACGCTTGTTCAGAGAGCTCTTCATAGAGTTGCATCCCTAAGCATATCCTAACCAGCACAGTTTTCCTTATCAGCTAAACAGCAGTTAGCAAGAACCCTCTTGCTACAGATGCAATCAAGAGCTACACTAAAGATACCTTTTCTTGGGGGAGAATTATTCCACTCAACTCAGACACAAATCACTAATCATCTAGTGAGGACACCAGTTTTGAAAATGAACACGTACATTCTAGTTTCACACACTTACCTGCAAGGTTTCTTTGCTTTTGCATCCAAAGTAAAAAGCAGAAAAATGACTCTATGCCACAGAAGGGTTATAGTTGAATACTGAAGTTGAGATGTGTGCAAGGTGAGAACCCCAAACCTACTGTGGCTGCACCACAGTACCCTCAATCATCCTGCTAAACAGTAAAAGAGGAAAGTTGGTTTTTAGCAGCTATGTAATCTAGCAGGAGTATCAGAGACATACTTGTAGTTTTGAATAAACAAAATATCTTGGATTTTGAGAATGTCTTCATGCAACATTGACAGTTCTGTTTAAGGTGGATATGAGAACACTGCAGGTTCAAGCTGTTCCAAAGCAGAATCGGTTACTAACCCATGCTGTTACCTTGTTTTCTTTTGTCAATTTATACTACATCTTTGAAAAAAGAACTTCTAACACTGGTAAAAAGAAAGGACATATAATGTCAATGAGAAAAATAATTGAAAATTACATAGAGAAGAGCTTGAGACAATGGAATATTGACATTTGCAAGAAGGGCATTGGGATTCTTAAATTCCATTAAAGGAAATTATATTTTAAAATGAATTGGTATAGCCTTTTGTGTACCACAAAACACAAATAATTAACACTTAGTGATGTCAAAGATGAACGTAAATGCTTTTTGCCCTCTCCCATCTCTAGTAACAACTATCTGCTTACCAACATTTGGTTTCAAGAGACTAGGTTCAGTTTCATTACCATTTAACTTCTGTGTAAACTGCACATGAGCTCTTAGAAATATAGTCATCCCACCTTTTTAAACCATATCTATTTCAAGACTCATCTAATAACATTTTCTGAGGTAACAGCAAGCAGCACTTCCATGGTAATTTCCAGCACTGTAATTATCAGGAAACACATTTGGACTCTGCACTCTGAAGGAGTACGATACTGCCTGACTTATGAAATCATGAAGTACTAAAAGATGAAGCACATTGGACAACAAAATTCTGTTCCTGCACTGTTGAGCAGCTGGCAGAAAGGAGAGTTCCTTTCAGCTCGTAACTGCTTTGTTTTCTTTATTTCCAGAGCCAAAGCACATTAAGCAGGAGGCTTTCCTTTCCCAGCAGTCAGGTTACTGCATCTCCGTTGTTCTTGCACAGATCTGACAGGCCCGCTTTACTTAGAGTAAGTCTAAGTCTCCTTACACCAGGAGGCAGAAGAGATGCTGTATTCAAAATAAGCGGTAAGCTAACAATCTCTTGAGAATTAACCACTGCTCTGTTTTTTATATTTCCTAAAATAAAAGCCATAGTTTCAAGATAAATACCTAAGACAGCTTGCCTGATTAAAGTTCTGAAATTAAAAATTACATAATTTAATTTCCAAAAATATCAAATTAAAGAAACTTCAAACAGCCTTATTTAAAATTTCCCCCAACTTTCATGAGCAAGACACAGATAAATAGCAAATCTGTTTTTTTACAATATTGCCACATGCTGTTCCATCAGTGGCAAAAGCCCTTCATTTAGCCACTTGGTACAGTTCAATCTTTTAACTGCATACACAGCATTTAACATTATACCCACAAGATAACCATATCTGGATAGCCAAAATAAATCAGCTGCTCTATAAACAAGCAAGCAACATTTTTTCTGTTTAGAAAGAAAACTCTGATTTGAAAGCCAAAGATTAACTTGGTATTGGTAAGAGCTATGGGAAATGTGGCTGCTTTTATTTTGCCAAACTGCCTTTGCCTGTACTTGTTCCATAGGCTTGGACATCGGCTGTTCTTCTGTTACTAAGTGTATTTCTCCGTTATGAAGAACTGCTGTTGAGAGACGTGCCATGTTGTAGTTGAAGCTGAGGATGACCGCAGGACCCTGCTCTAGCTGCATCGTTGCTTGTCCCTTCTGTAGGCACAGAAAGCTTCCCAAGGCTCCCAGCTCTTTGTTGGAAGCAGTGGTTACGAGAAGAGCAGCCGCTAACTCCACTCCTTGCCTGATTAAGCCTGGCTGTTCCTACAGAAGTTCTCCTGCCCCTTAGAATGCGTGCTCTATTAGGTACTAGAATATAAACTCCAAGATCTGCTAATCCATTTAGAGGTTTATCTGGTTTTCTTCTCCAGCAGGGCACTGTGCCAGTCACTTTCAGCCTGCACTTTTGGGAGTGGACAATCTAATTTACTTCATTTTCCCTTCTTGTATATTGTTTTAAAAATAGTTTCATAGCACCTGTATTCCTATTCCTCAAGATTAGATAGGTTTTTTTTAAAAAAAAAATGCTGTAATCTTGAATCTTCCTGTTATGAATATGTTCTGGGCCTGACTGAGTACTTGAGAAAGTATAGATTCCAAACAACACAAAAAAGTAAGAGAACATCTCCCAAATACCATTAGCCATATCTAGTCCTCACATCACCAGCCTTAAACCTGAGAACATAACCGAGCCCTGTGTCTCTGCAGTTCCACCGTTTCAGGCACAACCCTTTTCTAGGAAGTGAGCTGAATATCAATTACATGGTAAGGGAAAAAAAAGATTATATAGAGTAACAAAAAGACATTTGTACTGTTAAAAGCAACCAGCTATTACAGGCCTTGCTAGAACATGAAATAAAATATTGTCATTGAATTCTAAATCTTCAAAGCAATCTATAATGGCAGTTTTCCATGTGCTGTATACATTGCATAACACTCACCTTGCTTGTTCTTAGCACTACTGCTGTTCGGGGTGCAGACCAGAAATCCTATTAGAGAAGAAAAAAGGAAAAAAGGAAAAAAGCCCTTGTTCATATTTGTTCACCTTTTCCTCTCAGTTAAATCTGCATAGACTGAGCCTGCTGCTGCACTGCTGATCACTTCCATGTGCTCTTTTTCAATAAAAAGCTCAAAGGACAGAGCTGGGTCTAACCTTTCTTATACTCAAAGTGCAGCAAGATGTTCTCAATTTCTGAACTTGTTAAGTCTTGATCCATGAGTTTGGTTTTGATTTTTGAAAAAGGAGAAACCAGACTTGTCAGTGATGCAATTTCAATGCTGAACATCTGTACTGTAGGAATTCCAAGTAAATAAGAGCACCAAAGAGTTGTAGAGCTACCCTGCATAGAAGTCTTTCAGCAAAGACAAAATATTTTGAAATAAATGACTAGATTCTGAAATTTTCCTTGGTACTCACATACCTTCATGAGGTACTCATAGGTAAGCTTATGGAAATTCCTGCTTAATTTCCTTATTCACAAAGTTTCAATATCTGTATTTTATTTAAAACTTAAAAAATGAAGAAACCTATATGCAAGATGAACAAATGTTCAAGGATGGCCTCTGCCTATGAACAGCAGTGCTTCAGATGCAGCATTTTTTGTTGTTGCTTGTAGAAATTTATTTCAACCCATTGCCAGTTAAAGAGAAGAAATAGTCAGATAGTCCTCCCTTACAGAAAATATTTGGGCCTGTTAAAATCTGAGAAATAATATCCAATTTAGAAAGCACAGATTGTATTTTGTATTACTAATAGTTTCAAATAAAATCAATCGGAAAAATATTAAAAACCACAACTGGGAGATTTTACTTCCCCCTTGAAATTAATTCCAAAAGTTTAATTAAATATTTTGTATCCAAAAATTAAGCAATCACAATTCAAACAGGAGCACGAATGGGACACATGACCCCATGTTGCAGAAGCCCGGGCAAGCGCTGCCCCCAAAGCCCTGCAGCACAGGGATCCTCGGCTGACATCCCTGGTCCTGCAGGGCAGCATCACCAGCGCTTCTCAGGATGAAGCCAGAGCAATCTTACAGTATACATAATCATAGGATTTTAGGGTTTTTTCCTCCAGAATATGAAAGAAAACAAATTAAGTAGAATTTTCTTTAAAGCAAACTTACTCATGGGGGCATAAATAAGGCTTTTTATGAAGTTAAGGATAAAAACCCTTCTGTATTACATTAATGAAATGAGTTAAAACATCTATTATAATTAAATTTAAGTGCTGGTCAGCCAGCATTTACCATGCAAGAGATTTGCCATAGCTTTTAATATGCTCATGTGACTGCATGTTGTATTAAAAATTGGCAAGCTCAGTGGTGTTTTCCTGAATCTTTTTTTCTGCTAAAATTAATTTTAGCTCCCTAATAGAGACTGACTTTTGCGAAAGGGCTTCCTCAGCCTTCTCCAGTACCCTCCTTTCAACATGAAGCACTGTTCAAGTGGAAAAGCAGTTGGTGAGCAACAGATTTGTATTGACCCAGAGCTGCCTTACTGTAGGAAAAAAAGCAATGTTGTAGAGTTAGGTGCAATAATGAAACTATTCTATTAATACACAGCACATTTTCCATGTACATGATTAGCTACATTTCCTATTTTTCCATTTTTACAATCCTCCACTGAAGTAGAGCCATGGGTTAGTCCCAATTTCTAGTGATGCCATATTAGTGATTATGTTCAAGTCCAAATTGAACATACAGTTTCAAAGCAAAATTCATAGAAAGCTTTCTTTTCCAGCCATAAATGTTTCCAACATTAATAAATGCTTGATACACCTGATAAATCCTTGGTACAACATTACCATCCGTCAGTTGCAGAAGGCACTTTGTAAAGAGCAAGTCTCTCACCAGAAAACACGTTTCTGGGTATGATTTTCATTTCAGTCGGAATGTAATAGAGGTTTCTACACTAACTGCCCATGTCTTGGTAGTTGTCAAGACTGGAAGAGACCTCCTCTTAGAGTGGGTAATTACCCCTCCTAGGAGGCTACCAGAGCAGTTGCTGTGCTTTAAGTTTCCTTTAAAGCTGCCTAGAAGCTTATTTTGACTGTGGAAATTGAAACTAAGTAAATGAAGCTATTTAAGATTTTTTTTTTCCCCCTCAAGGAGATAAATAGAATTTATCTTTCAGAACAGAAGCAGCGTGTTTCTCCTATTTTGAGCTAGTGTAATTCTGAAAAAAAAACCAACAGAATTCACTGATAAAAAGTTCAGACGAGAAAAATCCAAGCCTGGCTGCCCAAAAATAAATACACGAAGTTTCTTCAAGTAGTTTTGGTTTGTTTCAGAGTTTCACTGCCCAGTTGCGTGGAGCGTTGGAGCTTTTCCCCTGCCTGGAGCAGGAGGGATTCCATGCCCTTCCTCTTCCTCGGGAGCAGCTCGGAGCCGGTCGCTGCGGGGCTGTTCAGGGGTCTGCGGCACAGCGGAAGCCCAGGTTGGCAGCGGAGCTGTCGGGGGTGTTTTGACTACGGGCTGCGCAGCGATACCGATAGCAGTAGGACTGCAGAGCCAGAAAGGAGGGAAGGGGGAAAAAGTTAGCTTAGAGCATAGCACAGCTTGTGTTTCCTTAGAAAAAATCAGAATCAAAGCTTTTCTAACGATAAAATCTGTACCAATGGCCACAAGTAAACCAGGTATGTTTTAAATAGAAGACAGACAAGTGCATTTTAAGTGTTCCTAGTAAACCATTCTAAACAATGTTTCTTCAAAACTGAGGAACTACTGGCATGCCATTTCTTTCAACATAAGAACACAGCATGATCTGACAGGACTTGTCCTTAGAGCAGCTAGGCAGGGTCAGAGCTGCAGTGCATCAGTGGGACTCAGCTCCAAAGCTCTCAGTACCAGTGCTGCCCATCTCGTGCTTGCAAGATTTGATATTTCAGTGACAGATTAGTTGGACTGAAAAAGAACCCTTTCAAGATGCCAAAACAGGACTACTGCACAAGCACAGTGCTCCCAACCACATCAGAACAAGTTATTTGAGAAAAAAAATCTAACTTCGAGCAAAATCTACCATGAACAAAATCACCTTCTTTATAGTGAGGCAGACACTTAACTCCAAGGCACTTAACTCTAAGATCTTTTAAATATTGCTGGGGCTGTGCAAATTCAGCTTTGTTTCAGTGCACATTAATATCTCTATGCGCCTTGAAAAAAGCCCCCAACTGTCACTCACAGTGCTACAAATGATGAATTACCTGATGTTAAGAATGATAGTTTCCAAACACTGCAACAAACACAATTTGAAGTGTTTGTGCTCAAGCCAGGCTCCCTGGAGGCAGTTACCCTCCATAGCATTGAGGCAGGACAGTCACAGATGTATTTTTACCAATCCAAACCAAGCAGAATTTGGCATTCAGCCTTTCATGCAGCAGCTCCATCTGAGGCCACCACCCGGCATCTGCCCCTCTCTGCTGCTCCCGGCCCCGACAAACTCCTCAGCCTCCTCACAGGCACCTGGAGGGTGGCAGGGAGCCGCAGGGAGGGTGGTTTTTCCTTCACATCTAAATCCATACGGAGTTAAGCTACAGCCAGGAGGAGGGTGACAACTTAGACTGCCACCAAGGGCAGAGCCATGTGAGCCGTGCCACCCATGCAGAGGTGGCAGGTCACCAATGCTGTCTCCCTTAAAGTGTCCCCACTTAAGGAGACATTTGAAGACCAATTCCTCGCTGCATCCCAGGGCAAGGCCAGAGAGCAGCTGCTGCCCTCACCAGCTGCGGTGCCTCCTGTCGCTGTCAGTGACACGCGTGAACTCCAGCAGCCCTCTAGCAACCTTTACAAGACCAACTGTCTTGAAGGTAAAAGTCACAGCATGTGACAGCAGCTACAGACTTCAGCCTTCGTCAACTCTAGAGGGGCTAGAGCAGCAAAAAATCTAAATCAATTTTTCAGCACTTAATGAAAAGCCCTCATACTAGTAGTAGTCAGGGATATTTTGTATCTTGATTTACAGCCTACTTTTGTCACCTACAAGAAGACTAGGACAGACTAGAAACTTCAGATGCCTCTAAAATGGGTCACATTATTCATCACCGAAGAGCCTATTCCAGAGTTAATTTAATCAAAACTGCTAATTAACATCTGACATTGATTTCACCCAAGAAGGAAATCAGTGTAGAAAATGGGATCTTGCTGTAGAAAATTTAATCTAATTATGAGGATATGCCATCTGTAGGCCTTGAACGGGAAAAAAGAACAGAAGAGTTTTAATGAAAAAGCAGATACACAATAAGCAATTTTTTCCATCACAACCCGACCTGAGTTTAAAACATGGCTTATGTTCATGCAGGTAGCTTTGCAAAACCTGGGTATCCCACTAGAAGTGGGAACAACCCACCCAAAAGAACATCCAAAGCTACATTGTGGGGGTATTCATACTTTTCAGAAAGAACATAAAGCCCACCCTCTACTAGGCTGAAAAGTTTCTCCTACTAGTGTTTCTCCAGACACTATTTATTTTTTCTCTCCTAGCCCTAAAAGTCACATCTGTACTTTCTGGCATTGTGTTTGAATGACTCATATAAGACTAAAATGTAGAATCATCAGGTGCTTGTGAAAGCTTTCAAATCAAGCAGTACACTGGGTAAAGCAAGATTTTCCCTGTGCAGCGATTTCCATGCCCAGTGACATGGAGAGAAGGAAGAAAGAGGAGGGGAAAAAAAAGCCCTAATGCAGACAGAACCGTAAGAGCATGGGGCTTTGCTCTGAAGTTGCAGGAAACCCTTAACAAGCGCATAGACTCTCAGGAAACTGTCAGGCATGACTTAATCGTCAGCTCATGTACTTTCAAAGGAAAAATCAATATGAAAATACAGTTACAGTTACCAATAGCTTCTTAACATCCCTAGCATCTTTCTTCTGCATCTCATTTTTTTAATAATATAAACTTTCAGCAGTAAGAAATGAATTATTTTTCCTAAAGCAAAGTGGGCTGTTAAAGTGCTCTCTCCACATTTCCCCTTGTTTTTGTTAGAAAATCCCAAATACCTAAGTTTATACCTTCAAATTGTTACATACATGCTATACTCTCTTAATGGAAAATAAACTTTTTCTGTGCTATTAAAAAGGGAAGGAGCAGTCTAAGACTGAATACACTGCACTCTAAAGCATGTTTGGAACATGTTATGTGGAAAGTAATGACATTGTCATATTCTCCAAACTGCCCTGCAAAAAGAGGACACATCTCAAGTGTGCATTTAGATCTAGCTTCACAAGTTTTAGGTTTAAAAGTCTGCAGTGAATTAAAATTTGTATCAGAAAACATTTGTGCTATTTTCTAGGCCTCTGCATCAAGCAAGGTAACATGGTGCAAGGTGATCATATTTTGTGTTTTCAGCTAATAAAAGGCCAGTTGTCTTTTACACCAGGTTTTATATTGAGCTCCATACTACATAAAAGATACATTTGGCTAGAACTGGAATTTGCCAAAAACCAGAACACTAGGAAAGTAGCTTTCAGTTTCCAATTCAACTAAAACAAGAGCTGAAGAAGCTTCGGTTTTCCCGGGCAACAGTATCCAAGGTTAGCTCCTCACTGGCCCAAGAGACAGCTGAACCTCTTTCCAGAGGGTAATTAGCAATGATTCCTCAAGCAATACAAGAAGCATCTGGATAGCTTTTCTGCAGAGTGTTTGAGTTCTCGTGAAGCGTCCATTTCCTATCAAGGACTAGTTGCCAAATATTTCCTTCAGTTTAGTCTCATGACAGCAAAAATAGATGCAGACAACAGCAGCAGGCAGCAGTTGCTAACTCCCCCAGCTAGCCCAGGCATTACGCTGCAGGCCTTCCCGCGTTACCTTGTGGCACATGTAGGATCCACCCTTCTTCACTTTGTCAGTCCCCGACGAGGGCCCTCTCTGCGGGTACAAGGACACTGGTTAGCACTGCTGCAAGGGAGGGCAGTTGCCAGCTACAGGGCAAAGGGACAAAGCTAGAGAGCACCGAGACGAGGCAGGAGCAGCCATCAGTATCCAAAGGAAACGCGCGGCTGCGGAAAGCTTGAAGTGACAGCCCTGGAACAGGAGAAAGGGCTGCAAGTATTCAGTATTCCTATTGTAGCCCACCTGTCAAGAGCACGTTGTGTTTTGTTTCTGTAAAGCACCTGATAGTACGTTGTAACGAGCATAGGGATAAGCATAAAAGAATAATAGCCTTTCAAAAGAGATGAAAGACTCTGTCATTTCAGACTTTTCCTAATGAGAGATGATGCATTTTCACCCAGCCAGCCTGCACGCACGTCCTGTGGTACCAACAACTCTGACTCCACTGCCTCTGATCTGAATGTCACTGCTATGGAGGGGAAAAATAAACACACCTGAGCGCCCTATGTTACTGCCATGTAAACCTGGGAGTCTCCAAAAGAAACTTGGAGAATTTCTGTTTTTCTCAGCAGTCATACAGGAACTATCTGGAGCCAGGACAGAACAGGGGCTGCAGTGCCCCATTTTAGGGCTTGTTCCCTTCCCAGTCTGAGGGGATGCCTGAAGTTAGCGACTGCAGCAAGTCATTTAATTCAGCATCATCTCCCAGCCACTGCGCACTGTCATTATGTGTGATCATGACAGCTGAAAGGCCTGCAAAAAGCACTGCACTTACAAGCAACAATTTTGTAATTGCACATTCATTTGCAGTTTAATGTATGTGATTTGTTTAAACCGCTTATGAAATTGGCTCTAGAATTGCTTTAATGAGGTTATTTTACCACTCTGACTGTAAAGGATGGGCCACTAGTTTCGAGGAGAAAGGAGGATTCCTTGATAACAAATTCTGTTGATAGCTTTGCTCCTTACACAAGCGAGCAATTCACATCTCTCACCTCTTTCAGCTGTGAAATAGGTACTAGTGCACTTGCCTAATGCTTGATGGAGATTACTAATGCACCCCAGATTTGTTTCCATTGCTGATACCAGTCTTACATGCTTTCTATACCCAACATGCTTTAAGAGAATACTTTCAAGGAGCCAGACAAATGTGTGTCCTATAAAAGCAACAAAAAAAAAAGGGAAAACCAATTACTATTGATTAGGTAGCTAGCAAGCCAAACCTAGAGTCTCTAGCCCCACTAAGAAACCTTTCAGCATCTGCAACACCTTAAGCCCCGGTCTCAACCAAAAGAAATGCAGTTATTGAAGAGCTTTACTACACTAAACCGCAGAAAACACAGAAATATTGAGATAATTTTGAAATGATTCAATTTTGAGGAAAAAGCAGATTTTAAAACAAAGTAATTTCACTGTGAAAAGCAGAACATTTCAATTCATTGAAGATTTCTGGTTATGCTTCAACAACTTCAAATATTCATGCTTTACTTTAATATGTTGTCTAGCCATCAAGTTTTTTACCTATAATAGTCCTGATGGGATATGGAAAGAAAAGAGTGTTAGAAAGGAAGGCATAACTTCTGTAATATCTCCCAAATCTATGAATTTACCTCTAAAAGTAGATTGAAAAGTAGGTATTCCACCCTCCTGCCCATCCCATTTCCCCTCAAAATCCACCTTAAGACATAACCACTCCAGCTTTTCTTTAGCAGCCACTGACTTGACCAGTTCAGTAAAATCTGTGTTACCAAAGGTTTCCTTTTAAGAGAATTAACACAGGAATCTGTAGCACTGGATAAATCATGAGGACTTTTAAAAACTGGCCTGAAAGTTAATGCTAGTATCATGAGATACTGACTGCATCCACTGAGACTTGCTGCTGCAAGAGTCTCCGTACTGAGGCTTGACCAGTCTCCATGTAATGCAAAAGCTTAAAGGCGATGCTAGAAAAGACAGACTCGATCTACCACTGCACCCAGTATCCCTGAAGGAAGAGCACAGCCGTGCCGTGCTCGCTGCTTCCCTACCCCGTGTGCTCCTCATGCATCTGCCAGCTCTGCTTCCAAAGTCGCCGCAAATGAACTCCGGAGGACTCGTGTCCAAGTGCCCTGCTCTCAGGTAAGCCACTAATGAGCACAATCAACTCAGCCTGTTAATCTCATTTTAAGGGAAGCCAGCAAAGAAAACAGCCAAATAAGAAAACTAACCTAAAATAGCATGAGAAGAGGCCAAAACAGCAAACAATTATATGGAGCAGGATTTCCCACTGGAAGCTGTAATGCAAGTAGAGAACAGCAACCTCTACTACTCCTCAAAGATAGAGGGACACGCTAAGCTAGGATTAGTTTATTGTCCAGCCACAGGACTCTAACATTGCTTCCAGCAATTACAAAGCAATAGCACCTGCTGAGGCAGAATGTGAGCAAGATAAAGTGGTAACTGAAGAAGCTGCTGTTTATTAATTACAAGTATCTTCTGCCAGACATGAGTGGACCATCATAGGTTATTTGGTAATGAAGAAGTTTAACTAAGAGCCCCTGCCTCTGAAGCAGAATTACAGAACTGTAATACTCTACCACTTGAACTGCACAAGTTTTGGGGGTATTTTCTAACAACCAATTTCTTCTCTCTCTCTTTTTTTTTTTTTTAAAGAAAAAAATATCCTCTTGATAGAAAATGCTTTCAAATCAAAGACAAGGAGTTGATTATAGAACAGCTGAGGAAGTTCTCCAAAAACAGGAAAATCACTAGAGATTAGCTGAAGAAGTATTCACTCCATGTTTGAAGACTGTACATGAGCTCCATAGACTTTTCTTGCTATTGGTATTTTCTTTGCCAAGCTGCATAACAAGATGAGGAAAAGATAAAAGGAAGTTGGGATAAACTGATTTCACTGTAGACTCCTTATAAGTGTACAAGATCAACTGCATGAGTAACTATGCAAGAGACGAGCCAGGCTGAGGCCTCTCAGATCATAAGGACCACACTCACATTAGTTTTTCCAAACACACGCTTCATGTGTGCCAATCTGCAGGTTAAAAAAGTCCTCAATGTTAGAGCACAGTGAATTCTTTCTTCCATCCTAGTGTTAAAATTCAGCTTACAAAAGCTCTCAAAGTCTCATTTGAAAGCTATTGTGGAGTTAAAATTAGAACTGCAATATTGAACATAGCAGGCAGTGATTATGCTTTCATCCAACACGCAGCTCGGCTTCTCTATAAAAGGCACCACATATCACCAAGCTCCCTAATTAAGTCATATGGGCTGCTCCAAAAGTAACGAGGACAGGGCAAAATAGATGTTGTTCTTCCAGACTGATGAACATGCCCATAACTATTTACACTGTTTCCTGCTTTCAGATCATGGCTTTGCCTTCCCTAGGAGGCCGTGCTGTTGCAGTGGAACATTGCAGCTCCCTTCTCTAGGGGTTTGCTGCTGCAAGGCTGCCGCTGGGCCGGCGGAGAAAGCCTCTCACATCGGCAGTGCTCATGCCTGCATCTTCCTTACAGAGAAAGGAAGCCTGTTTTGATTGCGCCTGCCCGTAATAAAAGTTAATCAGAGCAGGGCAATTACTGGTCACATTTGATTAAAACAAGCAAATCTTTGTTCCATCAAACAATATTATTTTAGGCCATTATCTTGAGAACTGCACCATCTGGTACTAAAATGGAAGAACATTTGCTGCTAGGGCTGTCCAGACTTTGATCCCAGATTTACAGAACTGGGTTCATTGTATAGTAGCAAGTTAATTTTGTAGTATAGTATTGCCACAGGTATATTCTGGCCTGGGTTCATAATCACAGTTGCTTGCCAATACAACCATCTATGAACTTTATAAATGGGATTATATAATTTTTATATAATATATAATACATAAATTATTTATATAATTAAATATAATATTATGTAATTATTAAAAACATAGAAGCTTTTTTCAAAAGGAAAATAATATTTCAACGAGATAAAAACCTGCTTTCGGCACTTGCATTACAACTTTCTGCATAACAGACACATACGAGCACACTGCTACTACTTGCCAAATTGTTACAAAAAAACCTGATGCTTCTCAGTTCTACACTTCTGTAGAAAATCATGTCTGCAAAATGTATCAAAGAACTTTTTGCAAGTTTCTCTTAAGACAGGGTATTTTTCTGACTTGTGAGAAAACTCAGCATTGAGCCACTTATTCCTGGCAACAACAGAGCTTTTCCCACCTGTTGGGAGCGCTGCAGGAGCTAAAGGGTCAGTGTTGCCTTTCAGGTGGTGTTTACAGGCGCTGCCGAACTGAATCTGCCCTTGGCGCCGGGGCCGCCCGGTCTGCAGGACTGTCCTGGTGCAGCTCAGGGCTGCCTCTGCCCAGCGCCCAGAAGCACGAGCAGAAGGTCACAAAACAAGACAGCCCCTTGATTCCCTGGCACTCGAGCAAGAACCGCTCAAGGAGGAGCGCCCAGAATGCACAACTGAACTTGAGGACAGGAAAACAGGCAGTACATGGTACAGCTTTGGCATGTACAGTTTGACACTATAAATCTAAAGGCACTACAGAAAGTTCTACTTAGAAAAGCTTTTAGCAGCTCAAACATACAGAATATTCAACAGAAACTATGCTGAAAGGCAAGAGGAAGTTGGAAGAGTAGGCCACAACTGAGATACACAGCATTCCATTTGAAATGCTTTTATTCTATTTCAATGTATAAAATAGGGTTTTCTATTGGGATGAATGGGTGGGTTTTTTTTTTTTTTTGCTTATTCTGCTGTCCGTTCTGCATTGCCAATATGCGAGACTGCTATTAGAGTATCCTACTCCACTAGAGAAGTGTTACAGGCTGTTTTGCAAGGAGGGCAATGAAACCGAAGACCCAGTCATTGTGTTCCAGTTGATAAATAAGGATCAGTTAACATCTTTTATATGGAGAATGGCGAAAGATTATCTTAAAGCCACCAAATATAGTTTTCTAGCTTCAGCACTTAACCTATACAGGTCCTACCCCAGCAGAGAAAAATAATGACTTTTTTACCCATTGTTAGAACAATTTAAGTCTAATAGCTTTAAGATCTTGCAAAATACTTCCACATGTACCAATTTGTTTTTGCTCATGGCAATTCTCTGAGCACAAGCCCAAACAGTCACAGAGGAGAGGACTCTCTATGAAAGATTCCATACAGTCCTTACATATCCCAAAACCCCTCCAGTACCAGTGAACTGCTTGGAGGGTTTTCAAGTGTTGAACTAAATGCGCTAGAGACTTTCACTGAGCTCTGACCCTCTGGAAGAAATCCTAGTGTTTTCAGCAGAAAGAATACATCCTATATATAGGTTATGTTGACTTGTACTCTGGAGAGATTTGAGAGATTGGATCCTGATAGATATGGTGCTAATCATTTTTAATGTCTCAGAAGATAATGCAGCCAGGCTATTTTGAGAGACCTTTTTCACATTATGAGATTCAGTTTCCTCATCCATTTAATCAAAAGAACTCTTTGGAATTCACTTCAAAGTGCTCTGCCTCAGACACTAAATTCTCACATTTTATTTCCAAATTCAAAACTTAAAAGCTTTACTGTTAACACCTCATTGTTCAAGCCTTTCTGAAGTATTTGTGGAATTTTAAAATCAAAAGGCTAAGCAATCTAACAGCTAAAGGGCAAAACACCTTTCTTAAAAGAAGGTGAAATTAGCTAGCACCAATAGGAGGTACCACACGAGCTGAAAGCTACAGTTTGGGTGATGGAGATCACCCAAGATCACCAGAAACTTTCACATAACTTGTTTAATGCCTCTAGGGACCACCTATAAAAGCAAGCAATTTTACACCAAATAAAAGCCTTACAGCTGACAGGTCCTTTACAAGGCATCCACAGAAAGAATAGTGCATGTTACCATACACTAACCTAGAGAGGGAAAAAGGCCACTAAGACATACGTAGGTGCTATACAAAAGTCAAATTTCAGCTTTAAGCAGTTCTATATATACACACAGTTGAAACTACTTTTTCTTTATAAATTTGGCCTCGTTACTCTATTTTTATTTACTTGTTTTATCACTTCTCTCTAGGCCTTTTCCTGCCCTGAGGGGTGACAGTACATTGAAGTTTAGATTGAGATATCTAAAGCAGAAGGAAGCAAGTGGCAAAAACTGAGGTGGCTGTCAGACTAGACAACAGATGATCAACAACAGGGACAGTCACAATATGCTACAGCCTGCCAAACCTGTGTTCCTGCCCAACACAGGACACAGATGCTGTTTGTTTCTCAGAGGGGTTGTACATGCATATGTGTGTGTATGTGGTGGGAGGTTTCTTTTCCCTAAAGGTACCACAAAGAGACCATTTTGCTTCAGTTCCAGGCACTGTGGTGAAGCTTCAGTAATGACATGGGTAAAGCACAAACCTCCCTGACATAAACCCTTACTCTGTCCCCTCTTCCTCCCCATCCCTTCAGGCTGCAATCAAATGTTTTTACTCTGCTGTTCTGACACAGGAAAGTTCACTAGTTCTATCTTTCTTCATTTACACCCAAATTTTCCATCTGCTAATTATTCAAGACATGATATTTAGAAATGCTGCTCTTAAGTATGGACACAAGGCCTGTTTAAGATATGAAGACATCAGCCCTTAGTTGCATAAGGCAGAAAATGAAATGGAAGCAGAGTGTTGCATGTTTGGATGTTTCCAAATCATTTGAATGTGTTCAGATGATTCCATCAATGTGATGGAACTGCTAGGACAGATCTAGTGAGATCTAGGTCCCAGGATGAACCAGGTTTCTCATGCTGGTAACATTCTCCGGAAAAAGCAGGGGAGTGTCAAGCTTTGCAAATGTACCAAACAGCAAGGAAAAAAGACAAAGTAACAAGTTCCTCAAGCTGCTCACAACTGCTGCCTTCCGAGAAAGGACTGCAATTATGTCAGGCACCCAAGCAAAGACAGCAGATAAGAAAGCTCGGTGCAGGGATACTCAAATCCTGCAGCAAACTGAGATAGCTTTGGCCCCAAGAGGTTTAATTGGTTCTCATTACAGAGAAAAATGTCTGAGCAGAACAAGCTGTGTAACAGCTCATTTTTCAGATTCAGTTGTATTGAATAAGTGTGAGAGAAGATGTCATATTAGAAGTTGAATCTGCTAAGAGATACTGCATGAGCAACTCCATACAAAAAGCTTATCCAGCTGGGCTTCCTTCTCTGGCCATTAGACACTAGACCCAAACCACAAAGAAAAGGAAAGACTTGGATTAACCTCTCAAGGGCTGGTAAGTTACTTCTCACCATAAGCTTCAGTTTTATTACATGTTGAATCTTAAATGAGCTAGTAGAGGCCATAAAGCTAATTCAGGATGATTAAAGGTAGTTCTAGGTGGTTTTCTAAGTAAAGAACAGCTTGTAGCAACATATCAATATATATCTTATATATATATTTTATATATACACACACATATTAAATAAAAAATGTTTAATTAAAATTATTCAAACATCCTGGTAAATTTTTGGTTATTTAATCTGATTCCAGTTCGGAAGTATACACTTCCTAGTCAGTTATGGAGACCACTCAAAAAAATTGTATTGTACTACAGCAATATATCTCCACTTTAGATGACCTGTGAGTGCAGCACCTCCTGGCTCACAGCCCACCCCACAGAGAACACAGCAGGGAGCAGCAAAGAGCACTAGGCTTCTAAAGAGCAATCTGACCAGCGTGGGGAGATGAGTCCCATACCTCGTCTGAGGTCAAAGTACTTACAGGATTGCGAGTTTCATCTGCTGAGTGATGAACTACCCACCAGTCTGATGTCCATTCCCAGGCATTTCCTACAATGTTGTACAAGCCATATCCATTTGGAGGAAATGCAGTTACCTATACAGGGTACAGAGACTCTAAGTACAAGTTCTTTCAACAAAAGAAAATAAAATAAGGTTTTTGTCCTGAGGAGCAACCTGCTGAAGGTTTATCAGAGGCATCATCTCTCAGAAGAGACACTGGTCTGGAACACATGGACATACTCCATTTAAAGATGACAGAAAACTGTTACCCTTCTGTATGTTCTCAGCACCATATTCCCATTATTTCACATAGTATCTTCTCACTGACTTTGCAAATTGAGCCTCTGAAGAGGTGTCACAGATTAACAGATATATAGCCACAGATACTATAAATTATTTTCTAACCTGCGTTCTTATAGCTTCCAGATTCCGCTACCAAAACCTCCACCCCTCCCAAAAAAAGCAAGAGTCAAAGACATGTATATAGATTTCTCTGCTGATTATTTTTAACTTGCATTTAATAATTCATTAACATCCTTCATTATCTTTAAAATTCCACTGCCTTTCTCCATGCTAGAAAGCCTCAGTATTCCAAAAATCTGTTTCTTTTCTTTTAGAACTGTCATAGTGAGAGTTAAAGAAAATAGCCATGCCAAAAGTGGAAGCAGAAAGTATTTCACCATCTGACTTAGAACTGAAAGGGGGTCAGGTGGTGGTAAGGAAAAGAGGCCAGTGAGAGAAACTGAAAGTTAAAATGAAAATAATCTTTACTTTCCAATTAGCTTTTTAAAAAAATCCCTTGGCAATACCTAAGCCTGCAGTGAAATATATCATAGCTTGAACATCTAAAGGTGAAAGAAGAGTACAGTAATGGAGAACAGCCATGGGTTTTTGTGTTAAGCATAGACCTAAATTTTCAGAAGGCTAAGTTAGTTTCTGTATTATTAATCCACTTGGAGACACTCACAGGTGCAGTTCCTTTATATCCGTCCTCTGCAGTGTTATTAGTTGGGAACACTCCCTGCCAGATGTTGACATAATGCTGACCTTTTGGCTGAAGCTTGTTGCCCCATGGGAAAAGCCTGTTGAAAAACATATCGGAGAAGAATTGTCAAAACCATGGCCTAAGAAAAAATTGAAAAGCAAGCTTCATAAAGAATACTTACTCTGGAGATCTCTATGTATAGAGCACACAGTCTGTATTCCAGCTGCACCAGTATCTAGCAGGCTTTAACAGAGAGCCTCATAGAGGCTGAATAGAGATTCAACAAGGAAAATTGCTCTATGGAGGAGCGAGAGGCAGGGAAGAGCCCACATCCTCAACTGCACCTCGCACAGTACGTGAGGAGAGGCAGGGAAAAGCCTGTGAGGGAGGTGCCTCAACTGCACCTCGCACAGTACGTGACTCAGGATGCGAGGAGGACAGGTCATAAAACTGTTCATCAGCCTGGTCTTCCCCTGCCCTCCCAAACGGGTCACGGAACAGGCACCTCCGGTGACTCCGCAGCTGCAGTGCGGGAATGGGGCTGTTAGTGCCGAGGCAGAAGGAGATGCAGAAGAGCCTGAGGACTAAGTCCTTATGCCACATCTCTCATACACAAGAGCAGTTCTTCTGTCACACCACCTTCCCTCGCACTCTGCATTCTCTGCCCATCACTGAGGTTAGATTATAATCTACTTTAGATAAGTGAATTTCCCTAAATACTCAAGTAATCTGTTCAGAGTAAGCTTGAGTTTTATTTATACCCATCATGCAAGAAAAAAAATGGAGTGTAATAGACACAGCTCTTCCCTATATTTTAGGCATTTAATCAGATAGACATCCTTGTCAGTACCTGTTCTCAAGGCCCCCTCGACAGCTATATTCCCATTCAGCCTCAGTTGGTAACCGTTTTCCTGCCCAAGTGCAAAAAGCTAGAGCATCATTCCAGGAAACATGAAGAACTGGGTGATCCATTCTGCAAAAAAAGTGGGGAAAAAAAAAAAAAAAAAGAACAATCAGCCAACCCAAGCAGTCTCATAACTCTACAGCAAGGTACTTAAAATAGATGACCACAAAGGACTGAGGAAGCCTTGTTGTATCAGTTACACTGGACAAGGTACCAGATAAGTCAGTAAGACAACAAACCCCTAAAGGGATTTAAATAAATGAGGAAAAAAGCTATCAGAGAAAGAAAAAATAAAAAAGTCTGTCTCACCATGTTTTTTAATACTGCTCTCTATTAACTGGAAAGATGTTTGACTTGTGCTTTCCCATGTTCTCACATGAACCTCAGAAACCTGCTGGAAACCCAGGAGCCCGTGAGGAACTGCTGATCCACTGGTTTCCGTGAAAACGTAGCCATTGCAGACCCCAAGGAAATGGCCCAGAAGTCCTTTAATATTACAGTTTCTGATCAGGAAACCGAGATTCTTGACTGAAAAGTTTAGGTGTAATTTATTGCTGAACAGGTTTGCCCCAGCCATCCCTGTGCACGACTCTGTTGCAGATCCTTTAAAATTACTGGTTGTCAGTCTGATTGTTAGTTGTGGCATTTTTGTAGAGAAAAGCAAAAGAAGAGAGTCCTTCCTCATAGCATCACCAATTTTCACAGTCCTAATCCAGGAAATTGTGAACAGAAGTTCAATTTTTCTTTCTTTGTGCATTTTAAGTAGTTTACAGTTTGAACAAAGGCTTCCAGCTTTCTTTGGTTTAGTTCTCAAGCTTTCAGTCTTGGCCTCTCATTCCAGAAAGAGCTCAAAACTGTGTCTAGTCATTCTTGTAAGAGCACTCCTCCCCAGCTGAGCCTCTAGGAGTGAGATTCTCCAAGAGCTGATGCTTCTGATCCAAAAGAAAGATACATGCTTCCTATTTACTCATCTTCCCTGCCTCATCTAGCAAGCCAGCCTATGCCTGTTGGTTCATTAGGCTGCTTCCATGCACTGAGTTCACCTGCAGTTGTACTAGACTAGTGCACTTTTACAACACAAGATTTACACGGCAGGTTTCCAGCCCTTAACTGCTGACTGTGACCTAAATTCCTCCCTCTCCCCTTACAACACCTCCCGATATCATCTCTCTATTTTTACTTCAGATAGTTCTTTCATTGCCCTTGGAGAACAGACATTGGACTTGTTACTAAGCAGTTTAGCTATCAGATGATGTTATTCTAATGTAGTCCTGTCCTTAGGGGACTCAAAAACATGCCAACATCTAGCCTAGATCTAGGCTAGAGAGTCTGACTTGATTTCCAGCAGCAGTGTTGAAACTTTAACTTGATTAAGTAGTTAGTGTCAACTTCATTGTCAGGCTAATGAAACAAGTTAAGGTATAAGGGCTCCCAAGCAAGCACAATCACATCGAAGTATGCACACAACAGCACAGGAGCCTGCAAATGCAGCTGTCAACATGTGCAGCCAAGGGCTAGTTCTGCAGCATCTACGAACTGATCTTCATAGGAATAGTTTATCCCAGTTATGAACTAAAAGACACTGTACAAAGATGCAGGGCAGCAGGTTTGAAAGCCAACTATGGTAAGGAGGCACTAACTTGTTTACAGGTTGTTAAAGTCTTCCAATGCATTCAGTTTTCTAGCAAAGCCAGCACTCATGATGCACAATAATATTTTATGTATTTTAAAAATACATAAACTCTTCAACATCTTCCTGCCAGCAGAGACAGGCCTCCAAATTCCAGGTAGTAGGGCACATTGTGGGTAGACTCACAGACTACGCCAGAAGCTAGTGTTCAATCTTCCCCTACAAAACTAGATCTGCAATAAATGCTCTAAAGTTACTAACCCTCAAAGGTCTTCTATTCTCTTCACGTTTGTGTATCAGCAGTGAAGCAAAAATACGAAGCACATTTTAATAGTTTCTCTTCCTTTCACTGGTAGGCAATTATAAATATATTTGAAATACCAGCATGACATATATTGACCAAATAAACACTGAATATTGTATGCAACAGATCATAGAAAGTGCAAATGGCCACAGAGGCAGAAAAAGCAAACAGATGATCAGTCAAGAAACTTCAACTTCCACTTCTGGTGCAAGTTTGCAGGTGTATGTACAGCAAGCACTTCACATTAAAACTGAGTGGCTATTTATGACTTGCCTCTTTAAGATGTTAGAGTCAGGACCTTCAGGGTGTCTCCAATTGGCTCCTTTCACAGGTAGCCACCAGGGAGCAGCTGCAACCTGAACACCATCAAGAGAAAGGTCAGGAAAGGCTGTCATTTAAATGCCTGGTTAAAGACATTCTGAAGAACAATCAGGTGACAAATGAAAACACAGCTTAAACTCACAGCTCAAGATCCTGCCTGCAGCCGACCGACCTATTACTTGCTAAATTATCTCTGACTGAGATGGTCATTTGCTCCACACTACAATACTGCTTGTCAGGAAAGAGTCCAAGGTGTGCAGTAGCAAAAAAAAAAAAAAACCCACCACCACACACACCCTCAAACCATCTAAGACAAGCAAGAAAATCTGAGCTCTGAACCTACTTTTCTGAAGTACTGATCTTCTGTGGATGTCACTTCTTTCCTTCTAGATGTTCCTATCCTGCAGGGTGAGGATGCAACAAGCCTGTCCGTCCTCTTGGAGGGCCCAGCCTTCAGCACATTATTGAGGCTGACTAGACTGTCATCTGAGAAATTCATTGGGCACCTATACCAAGTTTAACCAACAGCTCATTGCCCATCCACACAGTTCTCCTGCCCCCCTTGCTTGACTTGTTTCTTGTAGGGATGCACCAATCTTGAGCACCTATACCAAGTACACTCAGAAGCACTGGCTGAAACAGGTCACCTGGAACATCATTTCAGCCTTTTGCACCTTTATGGTACAGTTAAAACAATTGCTTACCTTCTGGCCAATTTTGGTCTGACACGTTGCAGAAAAGATAAAGACAGCTCGGGTTTAAAGAATTTTCATTTCAGTTCTTTGCTTTCTAGAATCGGTCCTTTGGAATTATTTAAGCAATGTCATCCTATAATTAGGGTCAAAACACACACCTTGCAGCATATTCTGTTTCCTCATTAATTAGCTCAGTATTTCCTATCAGCTTCCAGAAGGTGGAGACAAAAGAGCCACAGAAATCTGAAACTTCTGAAGAAGCCTGAACAAATAAAAATTAAAGCAGGTAAGGCCCCAGTGCTTTAGGAGTTAAACTGGAATGTGCGGAGCTCTGCCTAGGGGAGGACAAAGCAGAGCCAAGAGCCTGTGGGTGAGGACTGAAGGGCAGGCCAACGGAGGTGACACTGTGGTGGGCATTTCCTACAGGCCTCCTGAGCAAGAAGATGAAGTAGATGAGGCTTCTACCAGCAGCTGCAAGAAGCCTCATGCTCCCAGGCCCTGGTCCTTACAGGGGACTTCAACCACTCCAATGTCTCCTAGGATGACTACACAGCTAGGAACAGACAGTCCAGGAGGTTCCTGCATAACATTGCAAATAACTTTTCATGCAGGTGTTAGATGAGCCAATGAGGAGAGGGGCACTGCCAGAGCTGGTATTAATAAATGGAGATAGTCTGGTTGGAAATGTGAAGGTTTGGGGCATTCTCAGCATCACCAACCATGAGATGTTGGAATTCATGCTCCTGTGAGGAGGAAGCTGGGCAGGATTCCTCCCTGCTGGGAGGAAGCTGTAGGATTGCACCCTGGACCTCAAGAGAGCTAACTTTGGTCTCTTCAGGGAGCTCCTTGGAGGAATTCCCTGTGCCAGGGCCCTAGAAGGAAAGGAGGTCCAGGAGAGTTGATTAATATTCAAGTACCACTTCATCCAAGCTCAAGATCGGTGCATCCCTACAAGAAAGAAGTCGAGCAAGGGGGGCAGGAGACCTGTGTGGATGGGCAATGAGCTGTTGGTTAAACTCAAAGGGGGGGCGGGGGGAAAGAGAGGGAGCATACATAATGTGGAAGAAGGGTCAGACCACGTGGGAAGAATATAGGAACATTGTCAGAAAATGCAGGGATGCAACAAGGAAGGCTGAGGCCCGTTTGGAATTAGAGTTAGCAAGAGATGTCAGGGGCAACAGGAAGGGCTTCTACAAATACATCAGCAGCAAGAGGAAGACTAGGGAAAGTGTTAATCCACTGCTCAATGGGGAGGGTGCTGTGGTGACAGAGGATGCAGAGAAGGCACAATCACTAAATGCCTTCTTTGCTTCTGTCTTTACTACTAAGGCTAGTCCCCATGAACTACAGAGCCCAGAGAGAAGAGAGGGAACCAGGAGAGGAGGACTTTCCGCTGGTGAAGGAGGATTGGGTTAGGGATTATTTAGGCAAACTGGACACCCATAAATCTATGGGCCCAAATGGGATGCACACAAGAGTGCTGAGGGAACTGGCAGGGGTTATTGTTCAGTTGCTCTCCATCATTTTTGAGAGGTCTTGGAGGGCAGAAGAAGTGCCTGAGGACTAGAAGAAACCAGTGTCAGTCCAGTCTTCAAACAAGGGCAGGAGGGATGACCTGGGAAACTACAGGCCAGACAGCCTGACCTCCATCCCTGGAAAGGTGACAGAGCAGCTCATCCTAGAGAGCTTCTTTAGGCATGTGAGGGAAAAGGCGATCAGTAGTAGTCAGCAAGGGACCTGAACATCTATACAAGGAGAGACTAGGCAAGATAGGCCTGTTTATAGCCTGAAAAAGAGAAGACAGAGGGGATCTTATCAAGATGTACAAATACCTGAGGGGAGAATGTAAAGAGGGTGGGGCTAAACTCTCTCAGTGGTGGCCAGCAACAGAATAAGGGGTGATGGGAACAAACTGAAACACAGGAAATTTCATTTCCGTATGAGGAAGAACTTCTTTCCTGTGAGGATGACAGAGCCCTGGAAAGGCTGTCCAGAGACACTGAGTCTCCTTCTTTGGAGATCTGCAAAACCCATCTGGATGTGACCCTGTGCCACGTGCTCTAGGTGCCCCTACTTGAGTAGAGGGGTTGAACTAGATGATCTCTGGAGGTCCCTTCCAACCTCAGCTATTCTATGATTCTCTGAAACTGCTGGATAGTTGGCACTGGACTTAGGAGACCAGACTACTCTGATACTGACCTGCAGCACAACCTGCTGTCCCTCAGCTTTCCCCATTCAAATTAAGAGCTGGCAAAAGGAACAAGTGATGCTGCAATTCTTATTTATCCTGATCCTGTTAAATCAGCTACTGATGCATTATACACAGAGGCAGGAATTATGCCAAGGTGGTGCTATCGTCTAACTAGGCATAGTAAAGAAATAGCACTTCTCAAAGAATCTGCAACCTGATTGCCCTACCATGACAAGTGCACAGATCAATGACATCAACATCAAACATAGGATTTTGTCTCAGTAGCTACCAAAACCACCAGCATTCTCACCACAGAACATCCCCCCTTCCAACAGCAACAAAGGTTGATCTCTCTCTAAAATACAGTTCTGTTACTGATGATTCTGACCTTGACAACAGGATTGCTGTTCAGAAAGCTACCCAGCTCAACTCACAGCACTATAAGCCTGAAAATGACCAAGCTGCTAAACAGATACTACACTTAATAGGCTTAAAACTAGTCAGATTTGACCAGTTCCTTGTTTATTTTGAGCTTTAATCTTTAATCTATAGTTAAGATAACAGAGAAACCCAAAGCAGAATTCAAGAACTCTGCAGAAAATGAGAGCAACAGTATATTACTAAAGGTTCTCCAGGAAACTGAAATATCAATAAAATCTAATTCTAGTAGTTACTAAGCACATCACATTTCTAAATGAAAAGGTTAGTTTGGAGGAAAAAAAAATCTTTACAAGAGACTGCTAAGACTTATACTTTAGAAGACTATTTTATAAAACATTTTTGTTACACTTGCTCTATGAGAAGAATACACACAGATGCTTTCAATCAGCATGGTTTATTTTAAACGAAGAAAAAAAATAGCCTCTCTACATGAGAGCACTATGTGTGCATGTCTTCTGATTCTGGCTCTGCTGAACTGAACACCAAATGGCTGTCAGGTTTTGCAGAACACCCAGATCTTTAGACAAGTTATATGCATATTATGGACAAGATAACAACGACAGACCACATACAACCTTCAATAATTAATTGCAATTTCCAGAGGAAAAAGGAATCACATACCTGAAATTCATGGTCCTTTCAAAAACTTCTCAGAAGTCTTTAAAGCTTTTAATTGCTCTAAATTCCATTATCAGAAGAGCTAATTAGACTGCAATATTGCAACATCACATTTAATACAGCATAGCCTTCCCTTGCTGCTAAGGAGCTTAGTTACTTTCAGAATGCTGAGCGTTTTCATACTTCAGTTGTAAACACGTGTTATGTAAACTGGCAAGAGATTCATTTTGTGAAAAGAGCAGTAGGTCTTGAAGGGGATACAGATCTAAAGGACATTATCTGCTTTGTCTCATTAACCCTTTACAGCATACCTTACTACCTGTAACAGAATTGGTCAAACAGATCAGCTGCAAGCATTACACAACTGCCTTGACACAAAGGAACACAGTTCTAGGAGCAAAGCACACTTCAGAGGCAGAAAACCTCAGTGCTTGTTTTGGTCTGATCCTGCTGCAAACTTGGATTATCCAGCTCTCTGCTCTAGGATTAAACTTTCAAGAACTCACTGTTCTGCTTATCACAAACTCTTAGCACTGTGAAGAGAACATGCTATCATAAGCCTGTAAAGATTCATTAACAGTTGACTCCAGCCTACAAGTTTTCCACCCAAATGAAGCAATTTGCAGAACTGAAGCCTGGCCTCCCACTATCAGCTTGCATAAAACTGAAAGTTTTAGGCATTCAATCTTCTTTTCAATTTAGGCTGGGATATCCTAATTTCAATTACCCCCTTTAACTGATGAGGTCAGAATTTTTAGAGTACTTGCTAAGAATCTTGAAGAAAATTCCTTCCTAAAAGCACATAAAATGAAGGTGGGGGAAAATCTGCAAAGTTGGTTTCAGAAGCAGCATTATACTGCAACACTACAGGTATTGCAAAATAAGGTCGGGAACATTGTTTCAAAGAGCCAGCCCATAACCACACGAAGAACATTTGTACTTATGCTGAGGGGAGAACTCACACACACACACACGTCACATACAGAAACCTTCACTTCAGCCCCAAACTTAAGGCATATCTATCATTTTAAATTTAAGAGCGTTACCAAAATAAACTAACTAATCACAGATCTAATTCCATTTCTCATGT